TACAATAAAAATGTTTGCCTGGGGCTACAGAAACTGGCTTTGAAATTGGAAATAATGGAAGCTTCCCTTATCTGTAGATAAGATAAAAAGTCCTCAATAAGATAGATTTAGAATGCATCAATAGAGATGAACTTGCACAATCAGCTGCCACTGAAAATGCCTATTGCTTATATGGTATTCCAAACTGAGATTCTGCAGCTCTGAAAAGGGTCAAACTTGACTAGACAAATTGAACGTCTAGCAAAATCTGCAAGTTTAAGAGAGAAATTTATATAATAGCTATGATCAGCTTGAAATACCAAGAAGAATGCTGCAAATAGCATTGTTTCAAGAGCCAAAGTCTAAAAGATAACCCAGTTCAAACTCTAACATTCATTACTGCAAACGCCACAAAAGCAAAACCCCTACTTTTAAAATCACTGTATTTCTCTTCTTAAAAAGATGTGATATAAAGTTAGATGGAACACATAAATTGTGGTTTCTTTAATACAATAGTGTATAAAAAGCTAAGGTTACAGTTGATTTTTTTTCACTTTCTATGCTTACCTCCCACTAAGCCATTTTTATGAATAGGAGAATTAAATTGGCTACTTAAAGAATTTACACCAAAGCTCAGAATAGGAAAACAAACAGAGACAGCATGTCTGAACATGAAAGAGAGGCAACATAGAGAGAGGCCCATTGTTTTGGACTGCTTCCCATTTTAAAGAGGGTGGGAAAGCCAGACAAATTAAAACAGGTTTTTCAAGATAACAAGTCATTAGCATGCTTTCAAAATGATGACATGTTTTCAAAGTTATGCTTTTCATGTCCAGGCCAACCATCTAGTTAATAATGGTTAGGAAACTATGGAGGGAAAAAAACAGCAATATTGTGAACTAATACAGAACTCTTATATTGAGATGTTCAGAATTTTAATTTTTACAGAACATATCAAGAACTGGTAAATAAGATAATCACTACTTCAAATGGCCCAAAGTACTGAAGAATTCCTTTGTGGGTTTTCAATTTGGGCATGTCTTCCCACGAAATCCCATAATTTGGGAACACCCACCCAAATTAAGAAGTACCATCTTGATATGCCGGGGTAGTCTGTTGTTCATATATGCAGGGAAGCCAGCTTCAAACTATTTTCTCAGTACAGATCATCATCTGGAACTTACCATTACTTCCAAACTAGATCTCACACCCTATGGATCAATGTGTGTTGTTATTATCAAATAAGAAAAAATACACACAGAAAAATCAAGTGTACATGATAACCAGGACAGTTGACATCAACCTTTCCTACTAGGTTACTTTCAGGGAAATTTAGAATTAGAGATCTCCAAATTCTATTGATCATGATAATTGAGAGTTGCTGGTTTATCAAATAAAAAAAAATCCAAATAATTTAAGTTTAGTAAAGGTCTAACTTAGTCTCTAGATTTAAATAAAGAAGCTTTATTTCCCATTGCCAGCCTTTCAATAACATTTGTATTACTTGTATTACCACAATAATCATTAAATCTCCTGAACAATACACCTTCCTAGCAACCAAATTACTCCATATGTATGTTCAGATTTAACATGAGTTTTATTTTATTTATTTATTTAGTCAAGCTATTATTAGATAACAGGTATCAGTATAAACATGGTTATGAATACATGAAATGGATACATATAGAGCCCCAGATTTTCCCAGCAGGGTACAAGTGGAGAGGATTTAATTTAACCCCTTTCTCAGATACCATGGATACAGCAGAATATCAGCATCCTGGCTCCAGAAAGGGACACTTCTATTGCTCCTAAAGTAATCAATTGTAACTATGCAACTGTGATTCTTTAGACAGAGAGTTAAAACTCCCAAACCTCAATTTATTCTTTTTTTTTTGAAACAAATTTTATTAATTTTAAAGACAAACAAACCATCATTAACCATTGAATACATAAAACCTCTTTCCATTATAAATTTTACAAGTCGAATAAAATATTATTTTATACAACATAATTCTATTTTACACCATTTCCATATGAACATATAAATATCTCTTAGCAAATTTCTCATTATTTCTCTTTACTCTTATTCAATTTCATTATTATTATTATTTTTTCCTATATTTATCCAATTTATAGTTATCATCTTCATTTCTCTCTGACTTGGTTACCGTTATTCTCATCCAACATTCCTCCGAGGTTTTATTAATTCTCACACAGACATAAACACACAGAACACAAAAACATAAAACTTCTTTTAAGAAAGTAACTTGGCCCCAGATTACCTCTCTCTATATGGACTTCAATTAAATTCATGCTCATCTTATATACCATTACCTATCTTATTTACCATTCTATATCTTCTATATAGCTTCTCACCGCTTTTCACTCTTCTTAATTCTATTTTATTTAATTCATTTTAATTTAAGTCATTGTGCTTGTATCTTTTGTCCATTCCCAAATTATCCATTTATCTAATTCCCTATAGTAAAAAAAAAAAAAAAAAAGAATTTCTCCTGGAATCACTAATCAGAGTATGATGCCTTTCTATCGTCCCCCTAAATTAACATTTAAAATAACGCCTAGTACCCAATCTGATTCTGCTTAGTACATTCTACCTACTAATTTTTAAAAAGAAAAAAAAGTAATAAATCCAAAATAATTAAATACATAATTAAATAATAAAACTAAATATTGAATCTTGTAACATTCCAATTATCTATTTCAAAAACAAATGCTACAGTAATAAGTTTATAATAACATCAACACAATAGTCAATTAAACTCTTTAATTAAACTCAATATTCTAAACATTCCCTTTAATATTTTATTAAATTTTAAAGTCTATCATTACTAAACATTTCAATATTTTAATCTTTTATTAATTCTTATAACATTCTAGTTTTCTATTTCTAATACAAATACTACAATACCATCTTATGTACCTTGCAGAATCTTCTTTTTTAAAGAAATTATACATTACCCTTTGTCCCTAAAAAAAATTCCTTTTTTCCCATCTTGTTTCAAACCTTTGTGGCTTCCCCCCCACCTTTTCCCTTCCTTTCTTATCCCACCTAACCTTTTTACCCCCCCCTCTCCTAACCTCTGCCTTGTTAGCTTCCCCTCTCTGTTATATTCCTTTTTTCTTTTGCTTTCCAACATTGTGTTGATTTTGCATCTTATTTTTCTCTTTCTTGGGTGTTTTTTTAAGTCTTAAGTCCTTGATTTTCCTTCCCCTCTTTCTCCTTTCTTTCTTAATTAAATTTTTGGATTCATTAAAGATGGCTTCTTCTTCTTCTTCTTCTTCTTCTTCTTCTTCTTCTTCTTCTTCT